GATCCCATGAATTTCGTTATAGCGGCATTCCACTGTGTACCCAAATCAAACAGCGCCCTCATAATTGTGTCTATACGTTGAAACCTCAAACAGGCGCCATTATTGGGAGGTGCGCAAACTTCACTCCAGTGGCGTATCCAGAGGGGGGGGGGGGGGGGGGGGCACTTTGCCACTCCTGGTGGATTTTTTTAAAGATTTTTTTTTCAAAAATGGTGAGAGAGTCTGACATGGAAAAGAAATGAAAAACAAGGTCCAAAACCATTACAGTGCGCCATAAAATCGACGTAACTATTCCAGTATGCATAATAATGGTCAGTTTTGAAGAGCGCCCCCATTGGAAGATGGGTATCAGCCCCGTCCTCCCCCCGTTTTTGATTTTACATTTTACGGAGACCAAGTGTCCTAAGAAGAACAAAAAAACAAGTCCGCATCTCGGCGCGGACGAGCGAGTCCGGTGCAAAAGCTGAAATGATCAGATTATCACGAAATATCATACTGGATTGTTAGGGACTGACATTCTGAAGCATCCTTAAAATCGTGGCTCCTCGGTGATGTCGGCCGACTAGCGTTAGAGAAAACTAGTTTTTTTTGAGAAACTGCTGTTAAATTTTCATTAGGTTTCCCGCATTTTCTTAGCAATAGATTGAAACACCCGTGAAGGGGTACAAACCTTGCGGACTGATTCTCTGACCTTATTCCCCAAAGTCAACAAACTGCTCCATTTCATCCAGGGTGACCGTAAGGCCAGAGCCACATTCTGCTAAATTCACATCAAAAAACTGTCAGATTTATCAAAAATCTGCCAAATTCCCCAGAATTACTCGAAATGCAAGGGCTTGTTTGAAAAGATTGAAGCTTTTTTAAACAAATGTACCATTTTCTGTTCCAATTTGCTATTTTTTCTGTCAAAAAAAACATTTTTGCAGAATTCTGCCAGAAATCTGCCAAAAAATCCATTCTGTCAAATTTTTTGACAAACTCGTTTGTTAACAAAAATTCTGTCAAAGTTAGCCGAAAATAGGCTAAAACGGTCACCCTGATTTCATCTTAAGTGGGTCAGGGAACCAGACTAAAAGAACATGATGTTTTCCTTGGTTTTCCAGCATCTTCAAGCCAAAAACCTGAAACAGTTTGACAATTTGCTATAACATTTTATTCCCCCAAATCCACTTTCTACTGAAAATTGCAGCAAAAGCAATTGTTGTACAATCCCTTTAAATCCAGCTTCTCCATCCAGCAAATTGAAACTTATTTAGTCAGTGGCTGACCTTTCATAATTCAAAAGTGCCTACAGCACATGATGCATAATGCCTTGATATTGTGGTTCGATTGCATCGCTGGATTCGCAACCTTTGAGCCGGATTCAGTTCTATAAATAAATCCCACATCCTCGAACTGTCACTTTGTGTACCTTGATTGATAAACTTTTCCAAAATAAGGTCATTGTTTGCTTTTCGTTAAATATTAATGTCACCATAACAGTGTCCATAGCGAGGCAGCTGTATTATAACGCTAGATATTTACTGAAGATAAAATGCATTACATGTTCATGTCTATAGCTTGGTTAACAGTAGACGACATGAGACGGTTAAGATAAAGATGTGTTCTTGCTTTTTTTCCTGACAATATAAATTCACTTTGGAATGAAAAATTCAACAACAAATAGAGGAGTTCCATTTTTCTATTAATTATAATTTATTCACATTAATGGTATACCACGTCAACAAAATATACATGACATTTCATGATTACATGTATTGCAAATTGACTGACATATTTTGACCAAAAAGATTGGAGTCTTATTGTGTTGTACCATTTGCGCTGTGAAATATATATATATTGTTTACATGTTTGAACACTCTTCAATGACAACAAAAGTTTTAGTGTGATGCACATGAGTTATGTACTTGTAAATTATAAAATGTCACGTTGTCAGTAACTTTTATTTTCAATGCGAAGTAACAAAAATAAATAACTTTAATCTTTTTAACATCCGAACAAATATATAATCTCTTGTAATTCCCCCCCCCCCCCAAAAAACCCCAAACTTTTGTAAGTCTGTACTGATTTGTTGTATAGTTCATGGTCTCAAACAAATTTTCTTTTTCCTTCCTTGTCATTTTTGACCTTTGGGTGTTTATTATGATGCTTTTTAACCAGCTTTTAGCTTTTATAGAAATCTATTTTGTGGCATCTCATCTCCAACCCTCCGATATATGGCTGTTAAATTTGGTTGGTGCCTACATTATTAATTCTAAAAGAGGGCGGGAACAACTGGTCTTTTTCGGGCTGCAAATACCCCTTACAAAAATGTCCCATGGCGATACCATGGGATCTCCGTCGGAATTATAAGAATTCTCGTGGTGATCTCTTAAAACACCATGGTGGTCTCTTAAAACACCTTGGTTTCCCACGGGAACACCATGCACAGCTAAAAAAAACATGGTGTCCCATGGAGACACCATGTAACCCCATGGCAACACCACGAAGACTAATAAACCACAATGAAAGCACCACTGAGGTCTGAGACATTAACATGACATTTTGGTTGCAATGGTGTCGCCATGGAATGCTTTTGTACACAATAGAATTAAGAGAAGGTACCGTTGTGTGCTTTATAAACACCATGGCGGTGCCTATTATACACCATTTAAACCATGGGTGGCGTACGCCATGGACATTTTATTCAGGCCATACATGGAATCCCATGTGAGGATTTTGAAGAACATATCATCAAAGTTCGAAAATTAAAAGTGAAAGGTAATGATTCAAGAACGAACAGTTAGCCGATTTAAATCGGTGGATATCTCATTTTTTTGGAAAAATAAATTAATTTTGTTTCCAATGTAAAACTCGACAATAGCATACACGCACGAAATGTACATTTCAAAAAAAAATTCGGAATGTGTAAACGGCAACACAATCGATTGAGAAGACATTGTCTTCATGACTATACAGCAAACAAGAAGAAACTTACAATTGAAAAAAGTCTTTAAGACTTCATTCATTAGTTTCAGAAGTACACACAAATATAATTAGTTTTGTACTTGAACCAGCCATCTCATGACGTGAAGTCCCTTATTTTTCTGTTCTGTTTTGTCCCATTTTCGCAGCAGCTCAACGGTAGGTGATACGTAAGAAGTGTTGGATGCTGGGACATCCTCAGGCGAAGCATTGGTAGGTGGGTTAAGCTTGCTCGTGTCTGTCTCATCTGCTGTGAGCTCGTATTGCACAAGTACAGGCAAACTGATGTTCAGTTCGTCCGGAGGTTTCACCGCTTTGCTCTTCTTTTCCGACTCGTCGTACATGAAGACGAAGGCTTTATTCCGGGCAATTTGGGGGTTGGCGGCCAGCGAAGGCAAGGACGAATTATCGTATGTTTCGTATTTATTTACGAAAATGTTGTTTCGTATTTACTTAAGTGGGCACGTTGGTTTCACGACCCGGACATTTGGAGCCAATTCTAAACGTAATTAGGTTTCTATAACCCTACCAAACAGGACAGTTCTTTTGGTTCATTACATGTCCAAATTTTAAGTCTAGTGGTTATTGGTCTCGAAAAGATCAAAGCAAATAACAGCGCAGAACGCTTATGTTTTTCTTTACATTTGTCTACCGATTTGGTAGACATGCATAATGCATTACCCGTTGTGAATTGACCAATGAAAATGCAGAATTACTAACGTAAATTAGCTGTCGTCTGGCGCCACTCGCCATGTGCTGTTGCTGGTAACCGCAAACCACCGTTAGATGATTGGTTTATATTGCTTGATTTATATTACGTGAATAACTGAATAAGTGATTAGTTCCACGAGATAGAAAAGGCCCTCGCGGCGTCGCCGCTCGTGCTAGTCTTTTTACGTGCCAGCATCCGGGGTGCGTTACGTGTCTGGATGGTATCGGTATAGGCGAGTGAGACTTGACTAAAGGCTAAGATACATAAGACTACGTACGCAAAATAGCACTGCTGTTAGTGGAATATTTAGCATTAAAGGGAAAATACAACATTTGCAAACATCAAAAAATAAAACTACCAAATCATTATGAAATACCTTGCTGGACTGTTAGTGAATGACAGTGTAAAGCATCCTGTAAAATCCTGGTACACTGTCATTTTCAAGAAAAGTGGTGTCTTTGTATCAATTTCCAACGCTTTTTTTCAAATACTGGCTCCAATGGACCATCGCACTTGTTTGCAATCGATTACACACCTATGAACGGGTACAAGCCAGCTAGACTGGTTTCCTGACCTTACAATTCCCCAAGTTATGTAAACTGCTTTGTTTCTTCTTATATGGAGTCAGGGAACCAGACTACAGGAAAATGATGGTTTTTCTTGGTTTTTATAGCATTTTCGAACTCAAACCTCAAAAAAGTCAGTGTAACTATATTTGCTATATATTTCCAACCCCCCAATTCCATCCATTTCTGAAAATTACAGCAAAAGCAAATGATGAATATTCCCTTTAATGAATATCTAGAAAAATGGGGGCGGGGGGTTGATTAATAGGAGAATTTAGCAAACAGTTATACAAAATATACCAGCATCTTCCCATTGGTTTCATAATAATTTGGTGTTCCATGGTTTTAAAGTTCTCTCATTATTCTGTATAGGTACGGTCAAAGGTACGTTTCGTATTTATTTACGAAAATGTTGTTTCGTATTTACTTAATGTGGGCACGTTGGTTTCACGACCCAGACTTTGGAGCCAATTCTTAACGTAATTAAGTTTCTATAACCCTACAAAACAGGACATTTCCTTTAGTTCATTACATGTCCAAAAGTTAAGTCGATTGGTTATTGCTCTCGAACAGGTCAAAGCAAATAACGTGGCGTTTTTGATTAAAAGATCTGAAAGGGCGGCAAACCTATCAGAAACAAACTAATCCACCATATAAATGATGGCACTAAGCTAACTGCCATCATTTTTGTTCACAACACGCGAGGAGAGGATCAGAACTAACGCATTGGAATGAAATAAAGTCACCGAACCAGGATAATGGAATCGGTACCGGCCATTGCATGTGCAGTCATATATCTTCTAGCCGTATTAAGCCATGTGGTAGACGCCGCAGGTAAGGGATTTTATTCCCCCTTTTTTCAAAATCCATTTTTAAATAATTGACGGGATTTGTTGTCACTGAAATCTTATTTTAAGACCCAAGTCTGCAAAACGGTAACATTATTTTAGTGCTGGAGACGAGATAACAGCTAATGGAACATTTATGTATGATACCCAAGCACGTAAATGATCAAATATAATAGAGCCAATGGATTTTCTTTCACATTGCAAATTTTGTTGACATTTAATGACACTACATGGCATGCCAACATAATCTTTCCCAATCGTTCTGCCAACAGCCAGGCGATTAAACTACATTGAAAGACGATGAATTTGATATAAAATACACAAAAAAATATGTATCGGTTGGCATATACGTAAATATGCCGGGTTTTTTTTCATTGAAACAATTTTTGATAAAAATTTCGACATTAAAGAAGCAAACGATGTGTCGTTCTCGTCAACATTTTCCCTTTGAACTTACCGAAGGTAATGGATGTCAACATTTTCAACCGAATTCATCACTGATTAAGGAAATAAATTCGCGCGATTGGGAGGTATTAAACACTCTCTTTACGACCGGTTAGAGTCTGAATGCTGATAAATACCCGAGCCGAAGGCAAGGGAAATCCAGACTGCTTAATACCGACCAAGCTCATTTTATTATTATTCCCATTTATGAATACTTTGTTGGTAAAAAAAATCCAAGCTTTTCGGTCCACAAGAGTAAAAAAAAAAGTCAAAAACTATAAATTTCCAACGATTTTGTTCAAAAACACCCCTCTTTCTACAATGGTAAGGCCCTATGGTAAACAACCCCTTATGGTACGGTGGCCCTGGAACGACATTTTAATATTGACCTTCTTAATATGAACCTTGTAACTCCTTAATGTTTACGTTGTACGTTCGCAATATGCACGTTGCACGTACCTTAATATCGCATTGTGGAAGTAGTTCCTGCTTAATGTGAATGTTCCAACTTGTTAATGTTCACGTTTGATCTTCTTAATATACACCATTGATCATGCTTGATGTCATCGATGCACCTTGCTTTTTCGCAATATGAACCATGTACCTTCGCATTGTGAACGTTTGACCTTGCATCTTCTTAATATCATTGTTTAATCGTCCTCCTTCGCAAAGTGAATCGTGCATCTTGAAAAGTACGAAGTCCTTGCCAAGCCCTACACTTAAACAACCAGTTATGAGGGAGTTTCAATCTGACGGCTGTTTAATGTCACTTAACCTGTTTCTACATTGTAGTGAGTTTTATCATGAATCAAGCTCTCTGTTTTAATTCACTCATCTTGTACAATTCATGTTCATAATATTGAGCGCTGTTTCACTAGAAAAGAAGTCTGTTTAATTAATTAGACTTATTAATTTCTTGACGGTATACTCTCCGTCAATTAGAAAAATGCAAAACAGTGTTCTGTGATCACGTTGAGAATGCTTTTATCATAAAACTTTACATCCTTCAGTCCCTATCCCTATGGATTTGTCTTGATATCCGCGTATTTAATTAGTATAGTGTGTTTAATAGGAAGAGGCGTAATCATACATGTCGCCACTACATTTTAAGTCATATGGAATGGAGTTTGGCCGCCACCATGCATTTAAGTTTTTATCAGACTTGTGTTTTCTTAAAAAGAAGTGGTTTTCTGGCTAGGAAAATAGCAAGGAAGAACCGGTTTTGTGCAAGCAAAATTCAGGGAATAATCTGTTTATGTTAATAACTTGTTGGTCTTCGTTACCGTTAAATATTATTAAGACGTCGTCCCTGTATCTCATGTAACTCACAATTGAAGGATTGTGTGGGAGAATAATTTCTTGTTCATATTTGAACAGGGTTATATCGCATATTTCTGGACTGCATTCGCTTCCCATATAGCCACGCCAATTTTCTGTCTGAAGAACTTTCCATTGAATTCAAATATGTTTCGATGCATGATAAGTTCCAGGAGACAGCGAGCGTGTTCTCTTGTAGGTTTGGGTATTGCGTACAGACTGTTATCGGCAACTTCAAGTGCATCGCAGACTGATTCAATTGCCTCATCTTGTGGGCAATTCGTATACATGGACACAATATCCAATGTGATCAATAGGCTATCCTGCTTCAATGTCACGTTGTTTAGTTTTTCAAGCACATGCCTGGAATCGCATGTATATGTGCTTTGTTGTTTGACAATCGGAAGCAGAAAATAGTCTATGTATTTTGAAATTGATTGAGTCGGACCTCCGCAACCACTAATAATAGGCCTCCCCACAAACCGCGTTTCTTTGGGTGCTTCTTTGTGAACTTTCGGTAAGAGGTAGAGGCAAGGAGTTTTGATGTCGTGGTTGTCATGGTTGAGAAACTCAAATGTTTTTTTGGATATTACTCCATCAATGTGAAGTCTGCGTATGGCTTGAGCGACCTGTTGCGCAGTTTCCCCAGTCAGTTCCCTATCAATCTCTTCATAATGTGGGCCTGATAATTGTCGTAGCCCCTCATGTATATAGTCTTGTCTGTTTAAAACACATACACCGCGGCCTTTATCGAATGGTTTAATGACTATGTCTCGTCTTTGCTTAAGGCCGGTCAGAGCGATGCGTTCCGCTTTTGACATGTTAGATTCTACATTTTTTATTTCCAACTTGGATTATTCCTCCAAAGTACCTTCAATGTATGATTCTAGATTAAAGTTGAAGGTAGGTTGGGGATTCCAAGTGGAGGGCAATTTGAAAGGATGCGAACTTGAAGGTCTCACTCTCCCTGCCATTTTTAGACGTAATCTCATTTTTCTGAAAAATGATAGGGAATGGCGAAGGATGGTGGACCTTTTTGGTTTTCTAGGGGTGGGTATAAAATTCAAACCCCTGCCTAAAGCAATCAGTTCAATGTTAGAGAGCTGAGAGTCCGAGAGATTCTTAACATAGGGCATACTCTGTTTAGCTTTCAGCTCAAGGGAGATCGTCTTCGCCCATTTCTTGTGCTTTTTGCTTATTTGGCGAGATTGGACAGATCTATTCTTGGCTGCATTCGTTTTGTTATTTTTTTGGCTTTTATTAAGTCTCCTCGCCATGCTCACGCAGACTCAATGTAAACTTGTGTTCAATAAGTATTGACTGAGTGAGGTCTGCAAGAGAGCGTGGAGATTGTGGTTTTGGTTTTAGTGGCATGCCAGCAACTTATATGTGGGAGCTGGGACGAGGTAAGGGGTACAGCGCATGTGCAAGACGGGGTGCAAAGTCACTGCAAGACGTGTGAAATCAAGCGCAAGAGAAACAGCCGGGCGGGCGGGGGGGGGGGGGGGTTGAAGAAGGTTGACATAAGGTGGGGAGGGAAGCGATAAGTTGTTTTGGCCTTAATTCAATTACCATCATTGCGTGTAGATTTAGATTTCTGACATTATGTTTTAATACATGGATGGAGTGAGGAGCAACCCGTCATCTTTATTTATTCTTGTATTGTGGAAAGGGGCTAGTCCAGACTCGCACTATTTATTCTATGAGAGGAATTAAACAAAATGAGTGACAATAGAATGCTCACAAGTAGATAAGTGGATTGTTCTATCGTACTTTTTAGACTCTTCAAACAAAGGAGAATAGGCTTTTCAATATTTTTGTAGATTGCAAGGGGTAAGGAGAAGTGATAGTAAAAGAGAGGGAGAAGAGGTAGAAGAAAAGTAAAAGGGATAGAACATAGGAGGTTTTTTTTTTTTTTTTTTTTTTTTTTAATCAGACATGAAAGCTTTAATCTCTTTTGTGAAGTTTTGGTGGCTCTGAAAAGAGCCGTTTGGTTTGTAAGTTGGATAGATGAGCTATCTGCGTCGCCCACCCCGTGAGGCTGGAAACAGGCCCTCCTTCTGCTCCGCGGACTCCGCGATGATGTGGAAGACTCGGTGTGCTCGCCGCCGCTCCGTACGGTCTTGGATCTTGGCATCGATCAGGCTCAAACCCGCTGTTTATACTGCTGCTAATTGGTCCTCCAACGCGGCGAGCTTCGAACGATATGCACTCAAAGTCAGGTTGCCCAATTCCACCGAGCATTCCGCCAATTTTGTTTTCCACGAGACAATCATCTCGGGAGGGCAGGAGATGCCAAGTGGAAGGGTCGGTATATTTGTATTGACTCTAAGCCAGTCCGGAGTCTCGCCGCGTGTGAGGGATTCTTCTAGTTCAGTTGCCTGTTTAAGAATCCGATTTCTCAGGCCGGCCAGGCGGACTACTTCGACTTTGGCACGCTGTACCACCCAAAGAGCGTCCGGAGTGAGCCTGATGTGCCCGTCTCTTTCTTGTCTCTCTGTTCTTCTCGGACGGGATGGAGGCGGGGGCGGAGGGGGCGGCTGGCGTTGTGCACACTGTATTTAATCGTCGTCGGTGTCGACGAACATAAGTAGATCTTGATTGGCCTCATCGTTTTTTGAGCCGGGGGTGGGAGGGCAGACGAGATCTAATAGATTGTCCATCTTATCTTTGGAGCTAGTCTGGAGATATGAGGCTGTAAGTCTCAAACTATCGCTTTTATACCATTCTTGTTGTATGTCTCAAACCCTGACTTAATCTGAGGTTTCGTATACAAAGTGCGATAGGCAGGAGATTAAGCCCGATTTGTTAAAGTCATGCATGGGATGCGCAGCCGTATGGTAATTTGATTGGTCTCCTACTCCACATGTGACTTAATAACATAGTGTTTTTGTCCGCTGACATGGATCATTTGGAGTCTAGGTTCGATTCCAAAGATACAAATGCACGCCTCTTCGACCGCCGACCGGGTGGTCGGGGGAGGGGATATCAATGTGTTTAATAGGAAGAGGCGTAATCATACATTTTAATAATTTTAAATCATACACTACATTTTAAGTTATATGGAATGGAGTTTGGCCGCCACCATGCATTTAAGTTTTTATCAGACTTGTGTTTTCTTTAAAAGAAGTGGTTTTCTGGCTAGGAAAATAGCAAGGAAGAACCGGTTTTGTGCAAGCAAAATTCAGGGAATAATCTGTTGATATTAATAACTTGTTGGAGAGTTCCAAGGTCATTCCAAGAAAGTTGCCGCCGTGAATTAGGGTTTAAAACATGGGAGGGGGATGGGATTTGCTATCAGCATCAGCAGTGCCGTTCCTCATTCTTTTCCTTTTTATGGGATGTATGAGAACATTGGAGTAAGAGGGGCTCTGCGAGCTGATGAATCTTTTTTTGAAAAACATTGTGTTTGCAACCAGCTAGGGAAGATTTTCGTTTATTTAAGACTTACAAGCACTGTTATGGATACCTGTGTAGTTATATGACTAAACTGCCTAGAGCGTATTTGTTAAGTTTTTTTTTCCTTTTTTGGAAATTCAATACGCATATAGGGAGTAAAATCAGTTCCACTGCTGGGTTGCGGTGATGGGTGGGTTATAACTTGTCAACACATACCTCGCAGACGTACCGGTGTCACATGAAAATCTGACTCCTTGAAAATCGAACCCCTTTTTCCCTATTATTGGTTTTAAAATCTAGGATATGTAAGCCCAATTCATCCGCTTTTTTAGTACAAGAATCATTCAAGTCACTCATGTACTTTTCAAGTTACGGAATTTTAAACACAACCACCGTTTTAAGGTTCTGTCCACGGATCACAACAAGGTTCAGTGTTCCTTTAGCAAAACGAAAACAAATCACATAGGGATGCGTGTGAATTGTTTTCGTTTTGGTGAAAGAACGCACACCTTTTTTGTGATCCGCGGACAGAACCTTAAAACGGTGGTTGTGTTTAAAATTCTGTAACTTGAAAAGTACATAAGTGATGTGAATGGTTCTTGTTCTAAAAAAAAGCTTATAAATTACGCTTTCATATCCTAGATTTGGAAATTGCTACATGCAAAACTTCCCTAACACACTGGTCCCAACATTTGGGTTTCGTTTTTTTGTTATCACCCTGTATAAACATACTACACAAACGAGGTGCATTGCATGGTATTTTATACCAATAGTCTTAATATAGGATTTTCCGAGTTATTTTAACATTTATCACACAAAATCCCTGGAACGATACTTCAGTTTCATTTACGAACATCGAAGAGCTGAATTCGAAATTTCAATTTCAAAAAGCCACCTGTGGATTTTATCGATAAGGTGCGATGTATAATTCAATTTTGTAGCATTCATATTCGACCAGATTTCAGTACAATCTTCTCGTGTCGGCGTTGTGTTGAGAATAGAGCGAATTCGGGTTATACGTCATTCAATTTGCTGCTGTTATCGTTCCATTTTATTTTTGTGGGTTAAAGCGTGTTATTAAAATTGATAATTTGTACACTCAAACCCGGTAGGTCTGCTGCCCTCTATTGACGGAGATCTCAGAAAGACTCCCATTGGCGTTGCGGGTAGTCTATGTAATAGACCACGGCGATTACCGTGGTCTATTATGTGGTATAGAATTGCTGATGAATTAGGCAATACCCCGCCTCTTGACTTCCTAGATTTTGACCAATCAGCAGGCGCTTTCTATAGGTCTATCGGGTCTTCGGTCATTCACCCGTTGCGCGTCATAGACATGGATTTAAAAAAAAAATGTCACGGCGCGCGGCGCTCGGTATTATGTTACGCGAATGCGCTCCCGGTTGTTGTTGTATTACAAAACGCTGCATTCGAATTGACCAATCACAGCGTCAGTTCTGATTTTGGGATGAAATGACTTCGCGATTTAGTAAAGTCGACTCCAATTGGCTGGCGCGCGGCTTGCATAAATCTGCATGCTTTGACATATCAGACGTTAGACAGGAGATGACTCCGTGGATAACGGATGATACTCAGACTTCGTTGCGGGCGAGCGAGCTTCAATGTGATCAGCATGCCGTCTATGCTCCGAGCGATGTCGCTTGACAGGAGGCTGCTGTCGTACTTTTTCATTTCGTTCGCTCGTTAATTAACAAAGGAATTTGCATAAAATAACTGTTGAAGACAGTCTCACAGTTTTGTCTTTATTTTTTAACGTCTTCGCCCTCCTTTTGGTAAAGCATTTCTTTTGTTCTCAAGTAAGTGAGTAAGTGATGAGTGGGGGAGTGAGTTGGGGAGTCAGCCAGTCAGCCAGTCAGTCAGTCGGTCGGTCGGTCGGTGTGTCGGTTGGTCGGTCGGTTTTAAAGACATTCCGTAAATCGCTCTTTAATAATAAAAGTTGTCTGGTTGGTAACTTTTACTAAAGCGCCAGTCATGTTTTTTTTTATTATTGTAATATAAAAATGCAAACGAGGTGTATTGCATAATTTTATACCAATAATTATTTTTAGTTTTAACCCTAAAGGGCCGGGGCGGAATCCGCCCCCCTCAACTATTCCGCGATAGACTCGAACAATTTTTTTTTCGCGACCCGAGCTGTTTTGACTTCTTAGCCTCGAGCCTTGCGTATCTTTTGATACCAAAAACATAAAAATCGGACCAAAATTTTCCGGCGCCGTGAAAACTGAGTCTTCCCATATCCGTAGTGTACACAGGTCAGAATTACCATTCGTGCATATGAATTATTAAATAGCCATAATTCCGAAACCCTTTGACCTATAGACCTATAACCCTTTGACCTATAGTCAAGATCTTGGGCCCCCCCCCCCCCCCCGGCTGAGAGATGGTCAAAATAACCTGGCCCTATTAGGGTTAATATAGTTTTTCCGAGTTATTTTAACAATATCAGACAAAATCCCCAGAACGATACTTTACAATTTCATTTACGAACATCGAATAGTTTTTTTCTTCAAAATTGCCGAATCTGATAGCACAGGTCTTCTCTATGGACGGTCCACTGCTCCTCATCATAATGTAAATCTTAACTTTAGATCTTTATCAAGCGAAATTGCGATAATAAATTATGGTTTAATCCAATTGCATTTTAGCTTCGATTCGGTTGCGTGGAGGAGTCGTCAATAACGAGGGTCGTGTAGAGCTCTTCTATAACAGCGTATGGGGCACAGTGTGTCACGGTGGCTGGGACCAGAACGACGCCAAGGTGGCTTGCCGGCAGTTAGGCTTCCCTGGCGCTCTATTGTACACGAAGTGGGCGGCTTATGGAGGTGGCACGGGTGCAGTTCTGCTTAGCAACCCAAGGTGCGTGGGCAGCGAGGCCGACCTGTGGAGCTGCCCGCATGATGGAGGTGGCGACCATGGATGTAATTATGATCATCAACACGATGCAGGCGTGGTGTGCTCACCATCTGGTAAAACTCCTTAAACCTTACAACTCACTACATTAGATGCAAGGTCTTAATCTCCACCATGCAAAGCCTAAAATAAAACATAAATATGCAGCCATTTTACTAATACCCATTTTGTTGTGTCGGAGGCTAGACCTCAAACGCGTTGAGGCAGTAGGGCATCAAGGATTTTTTTCAAGGGTGAGGGGAAGTTGTTAAATTCAACGCATAGATAGACCTGGTCTTTAAGAAATGAACCCAGTTTCGCAATATTTAATGACGTTTACTCAAGACTTTTTTTTAAGCTGGTGCGATAAATCAAGGCATTTAGGAGATGGGTTTGGAGATGGCCTGATGGTGTCTGCATGTATCCTCAAGACCAATGTAATACCGACATGATATGGAACAATAGAAATGCTATGCATACGGGATACGTATGCGGATGGGAAAATGTTGCTTATTTCATCTGGCACACTATGAGGAATGTGAATTTGACGTCAAAATGCTTTAAACACTTCTGTCAATGTATTGAAATAACTGCACAGAATGTGATATAACCAGCTAGTTTTTCAGATCCTCGAACGTGTCCCGCGCGCGTACGATTACTGATGATCCCTAATAACTTGATATCGTAAACCAACACTGTACATTGCGAGTCAAAAAGAAAATGACAGTTAGAAACAACATTTAATAACAAATAACACATAAATCATATACATGTTACTGACTAATAACTGTGAAAATTTCACGTAATTTGCATGTTCTATTTACAGCTTATTTATTTTTAAAAAGAAATACCGCAAACCTCATTTGTCCATCACTTGTCATTGACCGATACGCATTGATGTAATCCTTGTAAATTACATGGCAAAGGAATCCATCCAAAACTTAACGTTCTCATTTCAAAAAAGACTTGATTCATTTCACAAAATCTGTCAGAAACAAAATACGTTTCAGTCTTTACTTTAATTAAATCTTTTTGAGTTTGAATAGCTGGAATCTTCAAATCACTTAGCACTTTTGGACAATTCCTTTTTGTCTTTTTTTTTTTAGATGTATTGAAGAACATGTACATGTAATACGAGCTTCATCGGTGTATCCAATTTAATTTCTTTTTAATTAAATGAAAAATAAAGACAACACTAATTTATACCCGGTCTGTTTCCTTTGTTGACTCATATTGTAGTGCGTCTTGTTAATGGTGTGTCTAATAATACGGGCCGATTGGAAATCTACTTCAACGGCCAGTGGGGTACGGTCTGTGACGATGGCTGGTCACTTGATGAGGCCACCGTAGTCTGCCGTCAACTTGGCCTTGGTGACGCCCAAGAAGCAACCCACAACGCCTACTTCGGTCCTGGTACCGGAGACATCCTTCTTGGCAATGTGAGCTGTTCTGGAAACGAGGATACTCTGATGGATTGCAGCCATCCACCCGTCGGGACGCATCATTGTACACACATGGAGGATGCTGGCGTTATATGCCAGGCACAAGGTAACTGATATATTTGTAAGACTGGCCTTGCGATCGTAATGAACGCAGATAAGTCATGACGCGCTGCCCCCACCGATTGGGATTCATAACTGCATGATTATGTAGGACGCTGATGACCAATATGACAAGCATAATATAACTGATGAATAATCGTTAGTCAGGATATTTACGATCATAATAATATAACAATTCCCAACGCTTCCTAAGATAATTACAATATTTAGTACCACAGGTCGAAATCAACTAAAGACTGCTGCTCAATTGTAAATTGTTCGTGTTTTTGTGAACATTTCATATTTTAGATCGTTCACCGGAATACTTCACAGAAAACTGACATATGGCTCCCATCACGGCTTGTTTACAACGCACGTGGGAGCCGATTTCGGCTTTGTCTTTGAAAAAATAATTGTCAACAAAAAAATGTCGCCGAATAAAAAATAATGTATCTGAAAATTCACTGTGCGAAGTCAGGTTTCACGCTAACTTCAGAATTAAAACGGCTACCCCATACAGAGCTGTTCACAAATAAAAGTGTGACTGGAATGACATTTTTTTGTCAATAATACGGACACAATGCATTCCTTCATTTTTCCGCAAATAGAATTGTGTTTTTTTTCTCAAAAACTCGTAGCCTTTTCGCAAAGCCTATTGCGTTATTTCGCAATACTTTTGCGCCATTTCGCAATACTTTTGCGCCATTTCGCAACACTGTTGCGTGATTTCGCAATACTATTGCGTTATTTCGTATTTTATTTTTGTCCATTTGTTTAACCTAGCACAAACAGTCTTCCCGGCGCACAAAAAGAGTCTTTGATGCAGCCACAAATGAAAATGACAATAAAATAATATAATAAACTTAAGTGCCGCCATTTTTAAAAAGCATCTTAATACGCATGTGCATTATACCATGCAACAATTCTTGAAACTCTATTTATCTTATTTTGCAATACTTCACAAAAATATCGCAATATTTCGCAATAAAAGTAATTTTTATTATTTATTTTTTTATAATAAAACCATGCACGAGGTCCGCCTCTCAAAGCCTTTTCGACTAAGCCCCCCCCCCAATGTAGTTCTTGATCCGCCGGTTCACTACCCATCCTCAAAATTTGGATCTATTTTGTATAACAATGGAAAGTGTTTTTGCCTATAACATAATAATATTAAAATCATAAGGGAAGGTGTTATTTCTATAATAAAATGTGTTTTAATCCAATTGCATTTTAGCTTCGATTCGGTTGAGTGGAGGAGCCGTCAATCACGAGGGTCGTGTAGAGCTCTTCTATAACAGCGTATGGGGCACAGTGTGTCACTATGGCTGGGACCTGAACGACGCCAAGGTGGCTTGCCGGCAGCTAGGCTTCCCTGGCGCTCTATCGTACACGCACAGTGCGGCTTATGGAGGTGGCACGGGTCCAGTTCTGCTTAACAACGTAGCGTGCGTGGGCAACGAGGCCGACCTGTGGAGCTGCCCGCATTCAGGAGTCGGCACCTATTGGTGTCTTCATGACTACGATGCAGGCGTGGTGTGCTCACCATCAGGTAAACAATCCTCAAACCTTACAACTCGCTACAAGTTCTACTCTCTACCTCGTAAAGCCTAAATAAAGTCACAACAAATTAGCCCCCCCCCCCAATAAAAAAATCTCAAATTAAAAATTATGTTGGTGTAAATTTAAAATAACAGTTAACAATGAGCTCGAGACGTTCTGAAACGACATTATATTATCTTTCCACGGAGTTTAAATGATACAAGTGTTAAAGTAAAGCCCGGTTCATACTATATGGAAGTGTATTAAGGACATGCCCGAAGAAAAAATTCTGGCCCACTATTTCGCCCGGGCGGATTACTATTTTGCCCGGGTGGATTACTATTTCGCCCGGGCGGATTACTATTTCGCCCGGGCGGATTACTATTTCGCCCGGGCGGATAACTATTCCGCCCGGGCGGATTACTATTCCTCCCGGGTGGATTACATTTTGATCTGTTTTTGAGCTCAAAGAGCTCAATTAGACCCAATTTTGGAATTAATATGAATTTGCTAGTATTTTAGGAACATTTTGGGGCGCTCAATATTTGTAAACACTTTTGTTGGGTCACTGGGGCTGTAAAATGCATACAGTTTTTACCTCTGCCTTCGGGCTGCTACGGGAGAGTAAAATTACGGAAGCGTATTTAGGACATGACCTAAAATATTTTTTAGGCCAACTACTTCGCCCGGACGGATTACTATTTCGCCCGGGCGGATTACTATTTCGCCCGGGCGGATTACTATTCCGCCCGGACGGATAAGTATTTCGCCCGGACGGATTAGTATTTCGCCCGGGCGGATTACTATTCCGCCCGGGCGGATTACTAATTCGCCCGGGCAGACTATTTATTCGCCCGGGCAGATTACTAATTCTCCCGGCCGGGCAGACTACTAATTCGCCCGGGCGAATTAGTAATCCGTCCAGGCGAAATAGTAATCCGCCCGGGCGAATTAGTAATCCGCCTGGGCGAATTAGTAATCCGCCCGGGCAAAATAGTAATCCGCCCGGGCGAAATAGTAATCTGCCCGGCCGAAATAGTAATCCGCCCGGGCGAAATAGTAATCCGCCCGGGCGAAATAGTAATCCGCCCGGGCGAAATAGTAATCTGCCCGGGCGAAATAGTAATCCGCCCGGGCGAAAAAGTAATCCGCCCGGGCGAAATAGTAATCCGCCCGGGCGAAGTAATGGGCCTAAAAAATATTTTCAGTCATGTCCTAAATACGCTTCCGTAATAGTGGGATGCTCCTAATTCATTCTGAATATTGTGCACCATTTCTGAACTGGAGCGCGCCATTTAAACCCCCTTTTTAAAACTGTATGAAGGCCTGAAAAAGCAAACAAGCACATGTATTTGTTAAAGGGCATTATATTCCTTTAAATTTCGTTCGGAAAAGAAATCGAACTTTGGAAAAAGCACGTATATACAAACTTTAACATGATTCTTTACCGTTTAGTTGATAATTTATATATGAACGAAAATCACGTTTTAAAAACCTATCATTGTAATACCTGATGACGTCACAATGACATCACGGTAATTCGTACTACTCTGTGTCAGGATATTCAGTCCAAGTTTCAAGTTAATGATATGAACTGCTTTGAAGATCACCCCAAAATGTTCCTAAAATACTAACAAATTCAAATTAATTCAAAAATTGGTTTAATTTGAGCTTTGTTTGAGCTCAAAAACAGCTCAAAATGTAATCCGCCTGGGCGGAATAGTAATCCCCCCGGGCGAAATAGTAATCCGCCAGGGCGAAATAGTGATCCGACCGGGCGAAATAGTAGTCCGCCTGGGCGAAATAGTAATCGGCCCGGCGAAATAGTAAATCGCCCAGGCGAAATAGTAATCCGCCCGGGCGAAATAGTAAGCCAGAATTTTTTGGGGGTCATGTCCTAAAATACGCTTCCGTAGTTGGGGGCTCGATCAGAGATATTTTTGAATGATAGCAATGGCATTGGTGACAACTGACCAATAGATTGGTTGATTTTTTGGTAGTACGCTAACCAATTATTAGGTTAAGGAAAAACGACGAAGGAAAAACGACGAATTAACAACGGGTTGACCAACGCATTGGTTAAAATAATCAATATGGGGTCAACTAATTAGATTGATAGTGTTTTTCACAAAGCAAGTATCTAGTGAAGGTACGAACGTGGTAGCGTGTCAGAAAAAATGGGAGAACTGGGGCTCAAGTTCGCCTTCAATAAACATGAATGTTATGGATTTGTTTTTGTTCTTAGCACTGATGGCGCCATTTATCCGGAATCAATCGATCCAACTAGAATTATCTTTTATAAATTGATTCCCAGATATTGGCAGTCCGATAGTCACTTGTCCTAGCAATATTCATTACAAGACTACAGACATTGGAATGGCATCTGCTGTGGTAACATGGGCATCATTGCCATCAGCAATTGATAATGTGGACGTCTTGGATTCTAGCGACATCACATGTTACAATGGCGCAGGTACCCAAGTGGGCTCCAGTGGCGTTTATGCTGTAGGAACAACAACAGTGACATGTCGTGCCACCGATACCGCCGGAAATCAAGGATCCTGCAATTTTACCATCACTGTCGTAGGTTGGTATTGTTTTGGAATATTATATTCGCAAGTTTTACTTCACGCACAGCAACAGATCCGTCCTCAGATTCATATTTCCTAATGTGTTTCTGTCATTGTGCTTTCATATTCACAATACGGTTTTAAAGGTCAACTTTCGTATTTAATGTTTCATATCGTTTACAATCCATATTTGAAATGTCTGGTCACAGAAAATCCACATTATGCCTTAGATACGGAGAAAAGTTGAAAAAATCCCGTTTGTGCGATTGGCATGGCAACATTCGCGCGATAAACCACGCATTTTCGAAGCTTAGTTTTAACGATCCTTTGAACTACATGTCATTTCAAGAAAACAAAAACTTGTTTTGGAGACAAAAATGCCACAGCCCGGATGAAAGTAATGAGTAAAAAAATGTGTAATTTTCAGACACCGAAGATCCAGAAGTTAGTTGCCCAAAAAGTGTTCCGTCTCAGGAGACAGACCTCGGAATGTCGTCTGCTGTGGTTTCATGGACACCAATGCCATCAGCTACTGATAATGTGGACAACTTCACTATAAACAACATCACATGTCAAGATGAAGCGGGCAATGTCGTGGAGTCTGATGGTACTTATTCATTGGGCACAACGACAGTGACCTGCCTTGTATTTGACAGCGCTCACAACAATGGATCATGCCAATTTGTCATCAACGTTGTTGGTGAGTTTTGTTGTAACGTAGAATTTCCTTCTTGGACAAATCAATGGATCGGAAATGCCTTGAAAACACTTTTGAACACACTGAGTAAAAACGATTAGTGGTTAGGGGATTAACTGACTACTAATCCAATTTTTAAATAATATTTTAATCACGAAGAAGTTATTAAATCCTTTTTGCAAGACTGTAATGAGGGCTACTTATTGAAATAAAACTGCTTTTGATTAATTTGTAGACACCGAAGATCCAGAAGTTAGTTGTCCAAATAGTGTTCCGTCTAAGGACACAGACCACGGAATGTCGTCTGCTGTGGTTACATGGACACCAATGGCATCAGCTACTGATAATGTGGACAACTTCACTATCAACGACATCACATGTCAAGATGAAGCGGGCAATGTCGTGGTGTCTGATGGTACTTATTCATTGGGCACAACGACAGTGACATGTCTTGTGAGGGACAGCGCTCGCAACAATGGATCATGTCATTTTTTTATCAAAGTTGTAGGTGAGTGAGCGTGCTTGATTTTTTCTTAAAAAAATTACGTTTCCTTTATGACCAATTAGTAGATGTAGAAACCATGACGTCTGTGACAACAGTTACTTTCGGTCTTTGAAGATAACATTTTCCTCAAGTTCTTTGTGATGGTCATACCGTCCCCAATCCATAGCAGTTCTAGGACACTTTGCAAGATAAGATACAACAGCACAGCCATGTGGTTGCGAAGGGCAATTTCTATAAAGATTACGTAACACTTTATTTTGAATGAAACTACATGTACACGCACATGTTCACGTTGGCGGGCGAAATCTTTGAAAATTAATTTCTCCCGTTTGGAAGACCGTATCTTCATGCAATTTTCAGGGTTTATTTCCCTTATAATGATCCAATTATGTGCTTAAAATCGTTGTGATATGTTCTTTACTTTTTGATGAAATTGGAAAAATAGGCCTGGCTACGTGTCTTTTCAAGCCTCACAAATATGAATAAGGTTCCTATCCATCATAGTGTGCAGTAAACATTTGCGTAAAAGCCTCGTCGCGAGTTATTAATTGATAAATATCGCCCTTTTTTGCAGGCTTCCATTGGTCGATACCGAGACCCACGCCAAGTCACGCCGAGTGACGCTAATGGATATGCTAATATGCGATTGTCCATTGCGTGGCCGGGCCGAAATCGTTCAACCGTAGCGCCTACTGCGCTATAGGAAAACCATTCACGTGGGTTTGGTCACTAAAATTCTTCGCCGAAATTTTCCTTAGAGATGATTTCAATATGTAACAAAAGCGTTAGCAACAACAGATAAAGCTGAAATTTTACAGCTCGTTTTGACTTCTGTTCGTGGCATCAATATTCTGTGATGCAGCTTCTCGTAGGAGATCACACCTCCATTGCTACATGATCACCTCAGCTGTTGCGCAAATGCTATTGCCACTTCACTGCTGCTTTGAATGCAGAATGTGCAATCGTAGGAATGGGCAGTAAGGATGTAGGCGTTTCAGTTTGACGAGAGGATTGGATGGGAGGATGCAAGGAGAAATTGAGGAAGCTGGACATCAGCAATGTAAGACCCAGATGATGTCCCTGCAAAGGTTCTTAACAATTGTGCTCTAGTTTTCTGGCTATGGTGCTTGTTGATACCTTGCGGTGAAGCTATTCCTCAGAGTTTTCTTCATCTGCTGAAGGAGTCAAGAGAAGATTTGTGTCAAGCATTACTTCAAGATGACTTCTCGTCTCGTCATCAATACTAGATTTTGCTATCTCTCCTCTTTGTATAGCTTTGTTCACGTCGCTACGAGGTGGTAACATCTGTATTCCGAGGTTATATGCAAGTTTTAAGTAATCATGATCGTGTACCTCAAATGCCTCGATCAATCTAGCTGTCTACATTGTAAATGTTGAATGATGACGACGAGCTGCCATGTCGATGAGTTTTAGCGGACCCTTTGCTTCTTAATAGTAGCTCAAAGTCAACTTTTTTGTATAACAATTTACAAACAACCTTTACAAACAGCATTAGTCAGTTGTATGACTATAACGATGCGAAAAGAGTGCCCAGGCAAATTAGAATGTATTTAAAGCTTACTCTGAACATTTGAATGCCTTTTTTTTTTACTTCGTAAGATACGTAAAATTATCATATAAGCAGCACAATTTCGAGCAAAATTGATTGACACTGCATTAAAAAATGGCTGCTAATTTGACTAATTTGGCCCGGAAAATCTATGTTAAAAACTGCTAACATTAACTTCTGAACTTTTAACCTGTATTAAATATTAACAGCCGAGCCCTTTTGAAACCAACTGCAACATATTCTCCTCATCTGAGGGAAAAAGAAGAGGTATATACAAACTGGTATTATGAATGGTTGTATATAATAAACAGAAACGCAGTTGTGGAATAATATGTTTCACTATTATTTTCGCATGAAAACACGGACGGAGAAATATAGGGGAATCCATCAGATCGATCAAACACTCACGTTTGAAGTACCAGCAAACGTGATACGATTTGGAATGAGATAATATGGGGAAGTGTTGGGGGTTTTCCCATACCCTATGATGAGCGGACGTGATAGTTTCACTACACTGTTAGTTCACTGAAAGTGGCCTTTCACTCCTCCAGCCTCATTGTGTACATACGCCAATTGCCATTTATGGAGGCATTTATTTATCTCGGCCCTTGATAACAAATTGCTGTTTATTTGCCACATCGAGGCTGGGCTTTCATTGTGGAAGTTGTGACTGAGGAATATCTTGTGGTGAATGTGATGCCTCACTTTAGCCGGCTGAAAGAGAACAAATTCGTGTTTGCTAAGACCAGCCACTGACTAACAGGTTATTATCAACACCTTCATTGAGATGCTTTGCTGAATACTGCCCGCACAAAATGCTTGTCATGTTTGTACTCAAAAGTCCAAAAATGCAATCTGAAAGTAGGATTTAAAGATTTCACCATCGGAGATATTCTTCGAAGCTTTGGTTTTATACGTTATTAAAAATGTCTGTATCTGGATCGTTGAGTCTCCTGGGTACATGTATATTTCACTGTGCAATATTGTAGACTAACCTATACCGTGACCTTCATCACATTCCCTCTTTCCCATTTTATGAAGATTGCCAAGTTGACCAGCACAAATGCTCGAACGGTGTGTGCATTCCTCGTTCTCAAGTCTGTGACAACTTTTATGATTGTGGTGATTACGATAACTCAGACGAGAACTCAACTATGTGCTCCTCCGAATGTAAGTATCAATCCGATCCAACAGAAGCGTTTTTACTAGCATTAAAGCCCAGCTCCCAGCTGTATAGATGTCATGTCATTAAATGTCTGAGTCGTTAATATCTCAACTTTCAAGGGCAAAGAATAGCATCATCTACAACCAAGATTGCGTGTGCTAATGTAATATATTGCACAGTTTCAGTACATGGTACGTTGCAGGAAATACAAGACTTATTAATGTTGGAAGGTGACAAGGATAATATTTAAGCAGACGAAGTTATTAACCACTACATCAAATTATGCAGCGTTGAAAATAGACTTCGATTTTGTTTCTCCGCAGCTTACAGTTTCTGCCAGGCTTACAGTAATGTAAGAGAATTGTGCATTGACCAGAGTGGATTCCTGAAAGTTAATGATTCTTTCTTGAAGAACAATACAGCGGTGTACACGTTCACTGCGCCAGCATTCTTGTCCAAGTCAACCTACATTGGCAAGGTGAGTATGCTTCCGATACGTGACATACATTGCAACCTATTAACATCTACGGGACGCAAATATATATATATATATATGTACAGAAACAAAGGTTTTGAACAGAACGTTCTAACTAATAATCCAGAGAACTGTTTTCGACAATGCAAAACGTCATCGATATCCTTTTGCTAGACACATTCTGTGCAGGTGTAATTTTAGCGTGATTTTCTCTTTCAAAAGTGCATAAAGAAAAGTTATAGCTTAACGTTATTCCCAATATTCTCTTGTTTAAGGTGGAGTTGACCGTGCAGGACTTCACTGAGCTGATTTACAAAACGGCATTGGTCAACATTTTATTGACTAACTCTGTACATACTACAGAATTATGGGTACGTTTGAAGGATTCCCGAACTGTGATATGATCCTGTGAGGGAAAAACAACTCTTACTTGTATCAACATTATTCCTATGGATTATCTAAATCTTTATTTATATCTGTTTAAAGAAAACCATAAAAGGTAAAAAATATATTATTTGGACTAGTGATTTTTTTCTTGGACCATGCAGGTAGATGATGGTTATGCAGTCGTTGCAAAAGAACTACGGGTTCCTCTCCTAGTTGACCACGGACAAAACATCAGTGTTACCATTGAGTACATCACGGATACCCAGAGCAGTTCTACAACACCTGTCAGCGTTACCTGTCTTGACTGCATCACCCTGCATTACAGAACATACCTTAGTGGTTGCGAGTGCCTTATAGAATACACTGCGTGGAGAAGGGGCATTCTGTCCGTTAAGCATATTTACAACACCACTTGCGGGGTGCCTGAAACCAATGAAATGTTCCTTTCTATGTACGACAAGTGCTTGGGTGAGTTCAGACATATTTACAATTATGTGTTTGGTGGGTATATTGATGTGCTTAAATACTGACGCAATCTGTGGCGTATTTAGGATCCAATTCGTGGAGGACACTTGCGGACCAATTGCGGACCATTCATATCCTGCATGAGGAGCTAGGGCCTACATGGAGTGAAACAGGCCTCATGTTAGGTTTAATGGAATCTGGATTGGATAATAGAGGGGCAAAAGACCAGTTTTTTGGTGACACAGATACAGAGAGTCCCGTTTTTAGGGCCTCTTAGAATCTACGATATACAACGTAGTTTGAGCTCCAGCTCTATATGTCGGAGTTCCTGATGAGCATTGGAGCTGGAATTACTCAAGCTACATGTACCACATAATTAAGACATAACTATGATAACTAGGGCATGGAAAGGTCAATGACCTCAGGAAGGTTACTAGAGGTCGTTTTTTTTCTCACACTTAGTCAATATTTTCATAATATGAAGACATATGACATATAATTGGGTCATAGGAACGTGGTGCTTTCAAGAACAAAAGGTATTAATATAGTATGTTAAAGCCATTGAGGTCACCGGCGTCAGATATGAAATGCCTCCATATCTGAAATTTGTTTTCATGGCAAGAAAACCTGTTATGCTAAGTTTCATGCTTTTATCACAATGTGCACAATTTTGTCACTTTGCCGTTCTACTAATGGGTTTTTATACAATACGAACAATGAGAAGGTCATCTTTGACTTCCTCAAATTCTGAGTAGGGAAAGCACAAGGGGAGGGGCTCAGGCCTCAAGCGGAGACGGGCGGGGAATACTTAAATATAAGCAACAGGCTGCAAAGTCGGAGGATCAAACATTGGCTGTGCAACTATACGGTTGAACTCTTAACATGCACATTTTATGCGAACCCGTGCGCCAGCCAATCGGGTCCACTTTAAAAACGTTGACATCCTTAAGAAATGTGGACTAAGGTGTTCACTGGTACATTTGGATGTCATGTTTTTGTAACACAACAACGGGTAACCGATAGACCCGATATGGAAGGCGCCCGCTGAATGGTCGGAATTTGGAAGTCAGGAAGCAATTTTTTGTTTTGCATAATTAATCGCCAAATCTGCTCGCATACTCATAGACCCTTGCTGTACTGTGCCAGGGAATATCCCATTGACAACTAGTTGTAGTACAGATGCTTGTCAAAATGACTCAGGGGAAACGCATTGCATAAAAGGGAAATATATACATTCCAAAGCTGTTTGAAACATGATTAAGCACCAATCCCCCCTAAAAAAGTGTAGTTAACCATAGTTAACGTTAGTTATTTTCTCCTGTGTAGGGCAACCGTCATTTACTTATATCAGCCCTGATGTGACGTCATTTGGAGATGACGAGGTCACCTTGTCATGTCTGGCAACTGGTGACATTCCACCACTTGTAGAATGGAAAGACGGGAAGGGGACCACACTACAGTCCAGCTTGAATTCAGTCTATTTGAAGGTTGTAGTTGCTGACTCTCCTCACAGGTAAAACCAGTACAGTATGGAAGGGAAAACAAAACATGCAAAGAAGATAATTATTTAATGAACGAGGTCATGGAGGTTTGTACTTGGCAGAAAGTGTGGCTTACAAAGTAATGTTCTCAAATGAATAAAAACCAATCAAATGAAATATGTAGTCACGCCATTTATAAAATATATGACCGTTCATCGTTTTTGTTCTCGTATGTGTTCAATTTTTATCACAGTGATGGCAGTATTCGAATTATTATTTTTTAACGTCGCAAAATGTCAGATGCCAAATATGTGCTTCTTATTGTTACATTTGTCTCGTCTTGATCCCGGAGGAATAGTCATGCATTTACCGAGGAATTAATTATCTGCCATTATTATACCCTTTTGTTAAATTAGATTTCGGTGTTTGATAGACGACATAGAACCCAGTAGAGAAGTTACAGTGGCCAATTGGGGTAAGAAATGTATAAGAACCTTTTAAGAGCAACACAGGTCAATTAAACGTTTATTAATCAGTTTGAATTTCGCTACTTAAATTTGTCACTACGTTATGTACTCTTCATTCTTATAAAGGACACAGACATTATCCAGAAATCTAATTGAGTAAGTCACATGAAAAATTGTATAACATTTATTAAGATTGACCTTCCATTAAGTTTAAACGTACATTTCTGAAAAAGAAGATTGTTGTATATAAACAATTTTTGGAACAAAAATAAACATAGAGAATGGATGAAAAAGTTCGCACACGTGTTAATTATGAAGCATGTAGGTCACTAACTTCGGGCTTGAACTGTTGCCAAAGCGTCAGAAATTCACACTGGGGTAAAATTTAAATAAGCCTGTTAAATAATGCCTCTTTGTTCTGCAGGTTCTGGTTGCAAGGACGTCTTTATTCATAGAGAACTTAATGAGTATCGGTCTGCGCCTCGGTGTTATTCCTCTCATCTTATCAGTTCGAGCTCTTTGGATTATAACTTCAATTTCAATATGGCCCATCCCGCGATCGCTCACAAGTTGAGCGTAACAGCCAACTCAACCATATTTTTGAAAATTATCCCACTGCTTACGTACGAAGTAAGGATTACGTCGCCTGGAAAAGAGTATCTTCTTTACTATTACAATCAAGAGTATCGCGACGGTTACGGCACAATGCAGAGTTTGAACGACACCGCAATGAAAGTGGATCTGCAAATTGTTCCACCTGTTGCTCTGGAAATCGGGGTATTTAATGTGATCCTGTCAGTCATGTCAAGCCAAGGTGTGGAGGACTTGCTGCAAGGTGTATTGATGACAGCACAACTCTCAGTGATACAGTGCGAGCAAGGAGACGACTGTGAAGCATTCTTCAAAGAGTGGACTGGTCTTGAGACTGAGTTCAAGGAATTGAAATGCGGTAATGGACTGCAGCAGGAGTATCTGTCATATCAGCAATGTCGGGAATCGTCAGCACCCGGACCAGGTAACTTCACTGAACGGATTCTGACATTCATTGAAAATGTCTTGCATTCCTGGCCATATTCCAAGTCTGCCTCGGATTATTTTCTAGTGATTACTCCATTATTCCTGCTCTAAATTTTATAAGACTTTCGTATACTCTCTCTCTTTCTTACTCTTTTCGTATTATAGCTCCCGTCGTTTCATCGTCTGCCCGGTATTTGATTGAGGTTCCTAGTGACTTGCCAAGTGATCAGCCTTTCCCAGTTGAGTGCCCAATTGAGAATGCCGCTAGCTACGATTGGTACCGAATCAACGCTGACGGCCAGCGTGACTTCGTTACCAATGGCTACGCTCTCATCTTTCCTTCCTTTGAAGAGCTCCGGGACCAAGGAGCTTACGTCTGTGTTGGAAGAGGCCGAGGGATGCTCATCGATGTTACCGCCGAGTATCAAGCCATCATTATGAAATCAGGTAAGAACATGGGTTGTTGGTTTTCAGTTCACTTCAAAACTTCATTATGCAATCTAAGGGTCATAACCTTCTAGACAGCTTTTTATCCACAACCTCCAAGTTGGAGACATTTTGCAATAAGAAACTCTTCACGGGAATAAACCATACCTCTGCTTCTCTTTTCAAGGCATCACCACGTTGATGGCCAACATGACGCTTGTGAATGGAACATTTACCGAAGATCTACGCAATGCATCCAGTGCTGCGTTCAAGAACCTCACATATGACATACGCAGCAAGGTATGACCCTTATTATAACAAATTGGAATACTCTACGTACAAAGGGGACGGCTATGTCGGAATCTGAAATTCTCATGAGCGTTTTTTTTTGGCGACAAAACATTTTTGTTCTGATCGGGTCTATTAGAAATCCACTTAGTGTCATACTTCCAATCCGTTCGACCTGAAAACAGCTGCAATATGAATGTCCAGCCTATCGATACATTTCAGGGAATTTCATTTTGACTGATATTAGTTTTGATGTGGCATCGTATTGTACAAAATTTGTATTTTTAGGGTTTGATTTTCGGTAGATGAGGTATGATTTTCGAACCTGAGCTGTTGGGTCCCCTTTCCATTTGGTATTCATAATCACGAAGGGTTTCGCGGCATGATTACCTCGTTCAAAACCAATCGATCAACCAGCCCAAAATTAAACTTCAAACATACTCACTGGATGAGAAGCTAGCGACTGTCTGTTTTGATCTGTTTCATTTTCTTATTTCTGTCATATTTTGTTTGTAGATGCCGTTGGATATGATATACCAGCCTGTGGTGAGCTACGAGGTTCTGCGCTTCTATCCAGGCAGTGTTATCGTTGATTTCAAAGTCATCGTGAACTCTCCAAGCAATGTGTCTGATGCTGATACTGCTGTCTCAATGCAAAGAGCAATGTCTGAATATGCCTCCACTAACCCAGGACTAGGTCTGGATCCCTACAGCGTTACAGTGGTTTCACTATGTAAGTTTATGACAAATATATCTGTATTGAAGCATCGCTTTTGTGAACCATGCTTGTCAACCTAGCATGATGATTTGTGAAGAATAGCTCTATTAAATTATGTGTAAATTAAATGCAGACCTCTTTTTGTTTACATTGTACGAACTCCTTCCTAATAGCTTTAAGACGATCAGCTGTGACATTGATGAAAAGTGGTGTTTAAAAATTTAGTAAAGTTAATGTACATGTTTTAGATATAACTGTTGAATGTCCTATCCACAGCTTCCTGTCCACGTGAAGTTCTTGAATTACAAGGCAAGAATGTGATCTTCCCGCAAACTAGAATTGGACTTGGGGTTGAACAATTGGGAGAATGCGTCGCTGGTGGAAAGCACGGTAGATACAACAGCTTATATATATTTTTAAATTGATTAGCAACTTAATTTCATCAAAATAGTTATTTCATTCGCATCCTCTTTTAATATTGGCTTGAATAGATCGGCTTGTAGTACATTTTTGCGCATATTTAGTTCATTAGTCGAAGAAATGACGAAATACTCATGGTCACCCTTACAAAAGTGTCCCATGGCGAAGCCATGTGATCCCCATGGGACGCCATGGGAAACCCATGGGAATCAAAAGGATAGACATATGGTGGTCTCTTAAAACACCATGCCGATCTCTTGAAACACCGTTCTGTCGCATGGGAACACCATGAGCAGCTACTGTAACCCCATGGCACCACCATGTGGTCTCATTGTGGTCTCTTTGAATACCATGGTGGTCTCTTAAAACACCATGGCGATCTCTTAAAACACCATGGTGTCGCATGGGAACACCATGGACAGCTACGGAAACGTGGTGTCCCATGGGAACACCATGAGCAGCTACTGTATATGGCACAACGTGTTGTCTAATGGTGGTCTCAAATACCATGGTGGTCTTTTAAAACACCTTGCAGATAAACTTAATGTTCAGGTTTAACGATTGGAGGAAACTCTCCAGCCATGTGGTTACCAAGGGAAATAAATCATGGCGGCAGGGGTCCGATATTCGTTGCTAAAGTTGACCTTTTAATTTATTCCTAAGGTCGCGTTCTCATCTCTCGAGATTGTTCGGGGGATTTCACTCTGGGTGCTCAGTGGCTTCAACCCGTGCTGGGAAATTGCAGCGTTGATGTCAATGGTCAGCTGGACATATTAAAAAAAGTAAGATCAATTGATGCAGAATCGGGGTTATTTGTAATGAAAAAGGTGCAACATTCCACTGTGTGCTCCTGCTCACATAACCACAGCCCCGTGGTGTTACTTTCTTTTATTTCTCCCTGGTTCTGCAGATAACGGTAACAAGTGAGAACGTGGTGGAGGTGTCAGAGTCTCTGGAATCCCTGACCAATGATGCCTCAACAATCAACGGTGAAGCTGTGGCATTGGTGGCTGACGTCCTGGATAATATTCTGACAATCCGGGATCCTTCCCCAGAAGTAAGACCTTGTAAAATATGATGACATACCGATAGCTTACAACAACCAGGTTGATTTTATCTTCATAATTGAAAGAGGACAGAGGAATAGTAACTTGGTGTTCAAAATCACTCCAAAATGGATTCTTAAATAACCATTTACTGATACTAATACCGAGTTTATCAATGATAACGTTCCATAATGATGCTAAATAAAACTGGTTTGAGTAATTTTTGTGTACAGGAGTTTAAAAAACAAATCTCTTCTGTTATTCATTACATGAAAGAATATTAAGCGTAGGATAGACTTGCCATAAATACACAGTGGCAACACTGCCCAGAAGAGGATCCCTTATGTTAATGTCCCATAATATATTTATTTCAATTTAGTATCGATACTCATTTGTATTTCCTGATACATAGATAACATCAAGTGTTGTGAGTGTGGTCAACAACCTCCTACAGGTCGATGACGAGGCTTTCAACAATGTACCAGACGGAGACTCCACATCCCGCATTGTACAAGCCCTCGACAGTCAAATCTCGTACGTTCTCGAAGATGAAGCCAACTTTACCGCGGTTACACCTAGTCTTGCTGTCGAGGCGCTAAATATCCCTCCGAGTTCCCTGCATGAAGGTGTGGGATTCGTTGTCAAAGCGGGAGAGTCTACGGATGGCGTGCTGAAGAACGATAGTGTCAGTGTCTATTACCCCGTCTCTGATTTCCCTGCAGAGACAGTGGAATCGTCCATCCATCTTCCCGATGAGATATTACTCAAACATCCAACAGGTGGGCATGGGGTAATCGTGTAAGATAAAACCCCCCTTTTGTTGCTTTAACATTTTTCTTGATTTTCGGCGTACGGTGAACAAAAAAACCCCCAAGTTGTCCAAAACAACCGGGGGACGGATTCCGCCTCCCTAAGATCTCGGCCATGGAGTGACGAAAATTTTGAAGCTCTGTACATGCATAGAGCAACTCATCATAAACATGCCCAAGAAATGTCATGACTATAGGTCAAAGGGTTTTGGATTATGGCTAATTAATTATTTAAATGTACGAATGGTAATTTGGCTCTGTGTACACGACGTATATGGGACAATTCGAAGAAAACAAATTCAAGGTTATCGCGGAAAACTAATTACATCCATGTATTTTACGCTCAACAGCTGCTAGTCCGGTACCCATTAGTTTTACCGTGTATCAAACCAGCAAGTTATTTCGCTCGAAGCGGATTGCTGAAGCTGAGTCCACTGGTTCCCGTCTGTTTGTGGATAGTGCAATCATTTCTGCTACGGTGGATGGTGTCCATGTCGAGAACCTACCAGATGACAACCCAGTGGTTGTTACCTTCAATCAAAATCCAGTAAGATGTCAAATTATTGATGGAAAGATATTTATTAGTTGCGAAGCATAGTGGATATTACCACGAATCAGTCATAGGGTTTGAAGATCATTGAGCATATAACATCACATTCAGAGTAAAATGTTACAACAAATAACAGAAATGCTGTGTTAACGTTACTTGTTTTGCAATACTGTGGAACTATTAGATGCACAATATTGTTGAATGTTTATAGTCCTTACATTATCAATTCGCAGGTGATTGAAGGGGCGGTGGAGTGCGTTTTCTGGGATAACGAACTCCAAGATGGCGTTGGGGATTGGTCACCAGAGGGCTGCAGACTAGTGACCTCAATCAGCGAGAGGACTGAGTGTCACTGTGATCATGCAACCAGCTTTGCAGTACTCGTGGTTAGATATTCAACTCGTTATAGAGAGCTAGGTTTTTATTCAATCTCAAAATACTGGTTAAAAAGACGAAACACTAAAAGCTCGTTTTAAAACGGACTTTGATCTTTTTCAGGACATTCACGGCCAAAAGTACTCGAGCCTAGCTCTGGATATCATCAGTAAGATTGGATGTGCTGTGTCAATTGCTTCCCTTGTTTTCACCATCATCATATACCTCTCCATCAAGTAAGAATTAGGCTTCATCGTATTTATAAATTAAAGTACATATTATGTTTCATTTTAATGATAGGCAGATAATTTTATATAATTTTTTTTGTGGTAATGAAACCAGTTCCTAAAAACGCACCAATTCCTCAAAAACACAACTGGCCAGCCTGAAAAAAACCTGCATGTAAAGAGGAGACAATGAGAAGAAATTGCAGTTTTACAGGTGGGAGGAAAACCCCAGAAGAATATTCTGAGGAAAATCCACGGGTCAAAATTAAGGTTTAAACATTGCGCCAAAAAAAGAAGACATATTGACTTGATATGGTTGATCTTTGAGGTACGGTACCGTATACAATAGTGTCGGAAATGAGCGTTGTACCATCATGCAACCTATATCCAATCCACTCTTTCCATTTTCCCGGTAGGTCCTTGCGAGAGAAGACACCAAGTCGCATCTTAGTTTGCTTCTCTTTCTCTCTGCTCTGTCTCTATCTGGTCTTCCTGATTGGTATTGAGCAGACATCGTCTCGTATAGGGTGCATCATCGTTGCAGTATTGATGCACTATTTCACTCTTAGCTCCATGGCATGGATGGGAGTCGAGGCAACCAACCTCTATCTGAAACTCGTTAAAGTCTTCAACTCTAACGTGGAACACTTCATGGTCAAAGCCTCTATCGCTGCCTGGGGTGAGTGCGACATATCCAGAGATGCAAATTTTCAGGTTTTAACCTGAATTTAATTTTTTTTTTTTTTTTTAAATATGTGACAAATTAAAAGTGCTGGATTTGGTCTGACACACCCAGAAAGCACATGTTTGAAAGGGGGTAAGAGTATAGTTTCATATTTTTTAGTATTGTTTCAGGCTTTGTATTGATTTATTGGGGGAATCTCATGATATCGACATTATTAGAAAGTTGAAATATCTTAAACTGACGCGAACGACTTTGTCTTTATTCATAACGGATAAAGGCAACTTAGAGGATGTGATTTTAATAAGGTTTATCCAACATCTCATTTCAAAATCAGTTTCTTGTAAACATTTGACAGTTAGGCTACTGTTTTTGTCATCATGCTCAATGAAATATTATAATTATCATTTTCAGGATTGCCAATGATTGTTGTTGGTGTAATACTAGCAGTGGATTACACGGTGTACGAAAACGAAAGCAGGTAAGAAATACGTGGTCACTGGCAACACTTGGTAAGCGATCCAAATTGACTATCGCCCCATGAACATAGACATTGGGAGATTGACACAACCCGACGTACGATTGTAATACACAGTTTGCAGAGATTCGGTTAGGTTCCTGAGGTCTTTGGGATCAAATACTACTCCAGTGAACATCTTCAGAAAAAGTTATATCTACTAGTTAGCTTCCCTCGGCATTTGATTTGGGGATAACAATTATAAATGCGTTTCTTTTTTGTACAATCCACCACGCTGTACGCTTGTACGCTGATATCCTCCTAGATTTATTGTTCAACATGGACTAATTGATTTAGCATAGCTATTTAAAATGAATTATTTTCAGTACCTCATTCTGAAAGCATGCAAAACTTACGCATTCTTATATTTTATTACACATGATGTAAATTTGCAGTTGTTTCTTGAAGCCCGGCGCAGCCTTCTACTACGGTCAGCTGCTCATGATCGGTCTGGTCTTCCTCTATAATGCCTTCATCTTTGTCCTGATCGCCCGTCGCTTGACCTGCAAGGCTACAGTGATCCAAAGCTCCAACACGAAAGGCAAGCGAAGTCAGATGGCCAAGCGGCTGCAGAACATGGCTGCCATCTCAGTGCTTCTCGGTCTCACCTGGGCCTTCGGTCTCCTCTCAGTCATCGAGTCTTCCAACTTTGCCTTCCAAGTCCTTTTCTGTGTCTTTAACTCCCTGCAAGGTCTGTTCATCTTCCTGTTGTTCGTCGTCCGACAGAATAACGTGCAAGACAAGTTCCTCGGATGCTTCCACAACAAACCGGTGACAAGTGGAACCCTCTCATCATCCGTACCAAAGCCCAAGCCCAAGTCACAGTCGCGATTGAATGATGTTGGTAATGGGGGTAATGGGATGGAGGGGAATGTCTATGGTAATCGGGCTTTAGATCAAATGAACGTCGGTTTGATTGCAGGGGAAGAAGAAAGTGTCTCTGATAACCAGATTACAGATCAAACGAAGACAGGTGAGAATGAAATGAAAGATGGGAACGTTTTCGAAAACGAGGCCATTAAGATGGATGATGTTGGAGAGGAAGATGAAAACGTCTCCGGTAACGAGGGTACTGATCAACTGAAGATGGATGACATGGTAGAGTGTGAAGGAAGTGTGTATGATAACGAGGCTATTGATCAGCTGAAGATGGATGAGATGGTAGAGAGTGAAGATAGTGTGTATGATAACGAGGCTATTGATCACCTTAAGATGGATGAGGTTGAAGTGAAAGGAGAGAATCATGATGATAACCAGGCTATGACGACCAGACTGTAAATAAACAAACAATGAATAAGAATACGGGAAAAAGAAAATGTGTACGATTTCTATCTAAAGATCACATATAGGCAGGTCGTTGATATACTTTACGAAAACAAAATCACCGTAATCTTTACAAATAGTACATGTATCGATGTTGATAACTGATTACTGTAACCAATAAATGACTCTATCTCAAAAGATGTCTTCAATGTAGTCCATGACATAATAAAAATCGTGGAACAGATACACTTTTAAGTATCTGATTGCCTTGAGATGGAACACGTCAACAACGGGCTAAGAGCCCGAGGCAGGCAAAGTCTTCAACGATTTAAAAATCTTTTCCGATATATTTTTTACTTTGTTCTTTGTCTTTTCTTGTATTGTAATTTCTTTCATTTATCTTCATGTTCATTTTTTAGCCATATAGTCGTGTATTTTTCAATATATCACAGTTTTGTTAATTTTGAATTTTACTTTATTTTATTTTCATTTCAAATTTTGATTCGTCTATTTGCATGTAATTTGCATATGTTGTAGCTAATTTCCTGTTATTAAATATCCCGTGTTTGTTATAATGCATTTACAATTATTATTTATATCAGGCTTCCAGCGGTAAAAGTAAATCAGCGTATTGTATGCTTTGTGCCTGGATGACTGCAATAATAAAGTACCCGGTTGACTGCAATAATTTTATTACAGTCATCCGGGCATTTTCGCTGGTTCCCGCACGATCAAGAGCACGGAAAGCATAGAGCTATATTAAATTACTATGATGGAAAGTCACAGTTGTTAACCACTCAACAGAGCGTATCGCGCGCGCGTACCGCGCAGAAGGCCAGGCAGGCCTATACGCACACTGATGCAAACAGTTACAGTGACAGCTTCAATTGGTTTGACGAAAAAGATGAAACGAGGACAGTATCTTGAATTGTATTCTTGCGGATCAAGTCAGCCTGATATAAATAATAACAATTATATTGGATGGCCCTTTTTCGGTGGATACAAGAATATGTTGCTCTCGCTGTGACAATATTGCACTCGTCTTCGACTCGTGCAGTATTGTCATAGCTCGTGCAATATATTCTTGTATCCACCTCAAAGCCATCCAATATTATATAAGTATATTACATGTGTATTGTAGTTTCTTATACCACAATGTTTTTTGTCATTGCTTTTACTTTTCAGTACTAGTATTTGTTGATGCCATTCGGATTTGCATTTATTTTGTTCTCTAAGAGTTGTCATATGTCGATTTCTTAAATCGTTTGTTTTCCATTATTTTTTAATAAGGGAATAAATGTGTGCTCGAGAGGTTTTTATCACTCTGTTTAAGACCACTTAGAGTCTGGGTGCTGATAATTAATTATCAGCACCCAGACTCTAAGCGGCCTTAAACAGAGTGATAAATACCGACCGAGCACATATTTATTCCCATTCATAAATACCTTTTCGGTTAAAAAATATCAAATAATTCGTTCAAAAAAATCCAAATTTTGTTCAACATGTTCACTTCATGCTTTTTGAAACATCCCTCTGGCAAAATAATGGAGTGTTCAGCTGGCGAGTAAGATGTAAACAACCCTTTTATGGCGATTGACGCGCGCGTGGCATGTTCTGCGCGATGTCGCGCAGAAAGCACCTCGGGCGTTGCGTTTGGAATTTTGAACTATAAAATTGTGACTCACTGCTAGTGATGCGCATGCCTACGTGAGGATTGTGAACGTTCAACCAATGAAACGGTAAGAGGCAATGGATGTTTAGGAGTCCACATTTTATTGTGACACTGGAAAAGTGTTTAAGACCAGCTAGCCATGTCTTTATCATCCCATCCGTTTAAGACCGGCCACGTGACGGGCTCTCGACCAATAGGAATAGCTAAACTGTCTGAGGTATTTATGAATGGCACTTTTAATTTAATTTGTCAACTTTTGACATATTTCATCAATATGTTTAAAATACTGAAACTATTCTACAGTTTTGTGCAGTGTCTTTAAGGGTAATAGTTTTAATGAGAACACCACGTAAGATAAACCTATAAATGCAGGAATAATTTGAAGAATGTATTTCCAAAACGCGAAATATCCATGCACAAAATGTAAAGTCAATATAATCTCGTTATTTGAGTATTAAAAGTTTGTATTGTATTGTATCGTAGATGTATTAGAGAAAAAATAACTAAATCCGACCTATTTAGGGGCAATTGTTTTCCTCGTTGAATAAAATCAGTCTGGTGTCATATGCAGTAAGCAATGCCACTCATTGGTTTAACTTCCGTGTTTATGACGTTTCGGAAGAGCGGTGTTAATTCAAATAGTATTTGTTGCCCTTCGTCGATGTAGCGGTAGTTCGTTTGTCGTAGTATATACCCCTATGTAGGGCAGCCCTTTTGATTAAATTGTATACGCGGTTGGAAGTTGTTTAGGTGTATAATTGTGTTACTCTGGTTTTTTTTAATATAGATCTTTTACGTGATCAGCTCATTATTTGTTTCAAATGTATTAATTGTGTTAAAAAGCATTGAATGATCAATAAGATAATCCCGGCATTTGTATACGCCGGCAGATGTTTAGTTTAACACTCTAAGTATGTTTAATCCTATAACCGCTCACAATTTCTGGATGATAGCTGTACTGATGCTACTTAGTGAATTTTAATCCTATACCAGCATCTTGGGAACAATGTGGTAACGTTGAATGCCACTTGTGAAACTGATATATTACTGCGCGAGGATCTTTTTTTTTTCGAAAATGTTCCGCGGTAGCTCCAACAGCGCCCTCTATTTCCGCACCTCCTCAATTTTTTTTACCAAAGAGCACAAGGAATGGGAAATTGCACCAAGGCAAATGATCGAAAGCACCAAGGCAAATTATGGAGGACACCAATGTACATGAGGACACCAAAAAAGCAAAATAGTACCCACCTTGTCTGTACAATCCAAGCTTGAAGAAAAAAAAAAAAGGCCAAAAAAAAAGAAAAAAAGCCGCGTGGCCGTGTCAGTTCCGGAACTTTGGTCTGACCAGAGACCGAATATTTTTTTTTTGCCTTTTTAGATAGAAACCGGCAAATTGAAAAAAAAAACATCTGAACGACAATTTAGATGAGGGATTCTGAACATTTCGATGGGAGCAGAATGTTCCTCCTCGATTACGAGAAGAACCAAAATACTCAGGTCCTGATAGCTGGGCTACTAAGGTCATAAACATATAATGTTAACCTTGCATCCTATACAAAATGCTCCGATTTTTGGATTTAAAACCAAAAGTAAAACGTGTTATGCTAATGGGATTACATAAAACAAGGTTCTTTTTGCTATTTCAACACAGTTATTGTAAAATCATTCATTTTCAGTAGAATTTCTTTTTGGTGTTTTTAATAGTTGCTGTTAAACGCTTCATATTTCGAAAAGGTTACAATTGCATGTACCTATATCCATTATCCTATATGAGAGCAGAAAATAAATTACATCAAAAAGCAACGTTAACTGAATGCGGTGATTACTTAATTCGTTTTTAACATTTAAAGACAATGGCGGTTATTCATTGATGGGAAATGACAGTCTTGTCTAATGGTAAGGCTTTGTGACTCGTATTCAGAGGGTCAGGGGTTCGAATCCCGCAGCTGGCCATACGTTGTATCCTTGGGCAAGCCGCTTAATAGTCTGATGTCTGGCCGTGCTTTAAATTGGTGATTGTTTGTGTTTGTGGTGTCCAGGGTACAGACAGTATCGATTCGTAGTGGCATAAAGTCTTTTTTGGGGGGGGGGCTTAGTTTATTTTCTAAAAATCATAGTGCAGCAAAATGCTGAATTACATGACTTTACAGTGTTGAATAAAAATACAACTAAAAAAAATATTTATTAAAAAAACCCTGGAAATTACATTTACATTGGATAATAAGATTTTTGTTAAAATGGGTATTCCCATCAAATTCATTTGTACTCTTGTTATATTATGTGCTGTATTGTTTGTAAGGATTGGGAACTGCACAAATAGATTATTCCTTACTGTGGTATTTTTTTTGTGTACAGGATGAAAAATGACTACTTTTACATACTTGGAATTTTCTCAGCAATCCAATGTGCTATTTTCATGATTATTTTCAGTATTTGAATGAAAAAAAAAGCTCTCAGTTTTAATCGGATACCCAAAACATAAAAATCTACCGATCTTGTTTTGTTTAAAAAGCACATGATTTAAGGTTCCATCTGTTGGGGTCACACTGTATAATAATGTGGTGGTACTCGCTTGGGGAAATTGCACATCCAGTAATACTAAAAGCCGGTTGTTCTGTTTACAGAGACGTGCACTTCATATAATCAATTTTACCGAATTAAATGCACACACTAATCCATTATTTTCTAAACATAAGACCTTAAAAAACAAGAATATTAAACTTGGTTCCCTCATGTATCAATCTATTTCTAATATTTTGCCTCTTCTATCAATTCCATTTTCAATCTGAATTTTGATGTACATGCCCATTTTACTCGGCAAGCTCTTCATTTTGTTCCCGTACTCGTACTTCTTTTGCTCCCCTCCCCCCCCCCAAAAAAAATACAAGAATTGAGGGACGGACCAAAGCTATGGAACTTACCCGACTTTAAGTGCATCTACAAATCTATCTTATTATGAACAAACCTGTACCATTTCATGAAGGCCACTGTGTGCAATGGTTTTCACAAATGCAGCATTTGTTATCGCAAGTATATTATTCCTTGTTGGTCAAAACACATGTACATGTTTGTATATAATATATGTGCGTATGTATAAACATGTGAGTTTGTTTTTCAATACGATAGGGCACGTTGAACAAAAGAGGACAATAGGGTACACAATTGCCGAAGGTCCGCAATTTACGATCGTGTAAAACATATGGCAGGTCTACCTTAACTAGTACAAACAAAAGAGAGACAATACATGGGTCCAAGATTGAAGGTGTTTTCACGATTGAGGGTGTTTATGGTGTAAATTAAGGACACACACGTGCAACATCATCGGCGAATCAAATTGAAGACGACCTAGATAAGAAAACGTGTAGAAAACCAATGAGACTCCTGAAGACTTGGCCATCGCCACATAACTTTTTGTTTTATTTTCTTTCTTTTCTATCGGAGGACAATTGCAAGAAGTGATTTATTTGTTATATCGAGAGCTTCGAAATTAATTTTTAAAATTGCTCGAAAATAAAAAATTCAATCCAGCTATGATGTTTTTATTTCATTGTCGCAAAACTGCATGTACATGCTCATACCTTTGCGCATACCTTGTTCAGGCCTGTTCCCGGACTGTGGGGGGGGGGGGGGGGGGTGTCTTTAAATCCTATAGTGCAATTTTTTTTTTTATGTTTTTATATTTTTTATATGCACAGCTGCAGCTGTCAACCCCTGTATATGAAGCCACTTCGCGCGGCAGCTTGTGCCGACATGACAGAATGCACAATCTTTTGACATGGGTTTCAGAACCGGATTTTAGCTTTGCGGAGTTTTGAGCAGCGGCATTTATTTTTTACATTCTCCACTTTGTTCTTATTCCCTCTTCCTTTCTCCTTCCTTCTCTATTCTTCAGAACACTGGTGCCTAGGGCCTACGAATCACTTAATCCGGGCCTG